TTTTTTTTTGTCATATTCATAATAAAACAATCGGATCGTCAGAGATCATTAATACATTGAGCGCCGGCGGCATATAAAACATTTAAAGCTTGAGCGCCGGCCTCATTCGCTTGTTTCCGAACAATGAGTAGTTAAAGAAAATATTTAAAACTTATACATTTTTTTAAAATACTATATTTTGATTGCATATTCGTCATTCTGTGGACATTTCACTATTACTGGAATCATCGGAATCACTCGAATCTTGATATTCTTCTTGGACCCAAATCACCATTACTGTCCTCGACTTGTCAGAATCTTCTGAATGTATCGAATAATCTGATATAGAGGGTCAGCAATATACTCGTTAGAAACTTCACTCATATTATACGGGTGAAAAGTTACAGAATAATAAGACTTATTATATTGTTTAACAAGAAGTGTAAACCTACGAAAGAGGTACTAACTACGGAATACACTGCTTAAGAGTGATTCTTGCTTTGATTGTTTCTGAACCATCGTATACGTTTTATTTTCGGAGTATAACAAATGCAGATTGTCGTAAACATGACAAGTAAATGCAAATTGATATGTAAGACATACATACAAGCAAAAGAAAATCCTCATCATCGTGAGGGCGAGAGTCAAGTGACAAACTTACAAACCCGCATATTGCGGGGCTGGCGCTCAATCGACAGACTCAGAAACCCGCATTTTCACGAGACCGGCGCTCATTGTGTTAAGGTATAAATAACATAAAATTGAACAAATACATATGTGATGTCTATTGCATAGTTAAAGTAACAAAGAATTTGTATAAAAGATTCAAAATGAAATAAACTACTAATGTTTATGGATTACATTATGCTATTTATAAACTACTTATGGATTACTACTGGTTAAGCAAAGGCATAAATATTTCATAATATTTACTATTAACTTCTTTAGAAGCATTATAGTGATATGTTTAACAATATAAATTGAGAAGAGTTATCAAAAAATATATTATTGAGATAAAATATTAGACAAGGAAGAGGTACAATGATAAATAATAGATTAAATTATTATAACTTCAAATTAATGTCATATTTTAACTAATATGGAATAAGGATTGTTAGAGCTAATACAAAAATACAGATGAACGAAGCTGTATCAACAGAATGCTATAAAATTTGATTAGATTTATGTTAGTTAAAGTTAATAAACCGTTCAAATAAATTTTAGAATATCATTAGTAACTCATTACAAAGTATATAAGATTTATCAAAAATAGAATGATTTATAAGTGGATGCATAGAAAAAGCTTCCAAAATTGTAGATCCAGCAAAATATTGTTAGGTAATTAAGAGAAGTTGTAAACATACTACAAGACAATATATTATCTAAATGTCTATATAGGGAAGTGTGAAATGATGAAAAAAATAGAGTAGCACTGACACAATTCTCAAATTAGGAAAATTTTGGAGGGGTAAGTTAAAAGCATGTAAAAATAAAGAACATTTGTAACCACAAAGGGAAAATGATATAAGTGAAACTGAAATTAATTTGATTAAGATTATTGTGTCATATAATTTGAAAGAAGTATTACATTTTCTGTAAGCATCAAAATGGAAAAACATAATAAAGAAAAAATTAAATAGTCTAGCAGATTTTTACAAGAATTTGTAAAATAAGAAAATTATTCAGATAAAGAAAGTATACAGATATATAGGTAGACTTTTAATTTCATAATCAATTTAGAGGGAAAAACCATAAGATATAGAGTGAAACTAATCGCACAGTACATCCATGAATCACAGGGGCAGATGACAGTTATCGGTATATTCACCTTTTGATAAATTTAATTACAAAAATCATTGATGTTTGTAATCAAAAAACTATTTATATCAACTATCTCTCGAAGCAATGGCATATAAAACATTATACCACTAATTTTCATGGCATAAAAGCTAATAAAAAATTTATTTAAAATTTTAAATAATATAATTATAATTCAATGATAAGTAACATTTTTCAATTTTTAATTATATTCTAGCACTAGATCAAATCTACAAATTACAGTAATGGAATTATAGAGAATCTATGTAAACAAATGATATAACTTTTATATGAATAACTTATATAGCACTAATCTCATCAAAAAGTTACTTCCAAACAAATATAATCCATAACACAATAAAAATATAATTATGATGATTTAAATAATTGAAGAGAGCAAAATTAAAAATATTTGTATCTATAGTTCATGTAATGTACAGGACATTTCAAATTAATGTAAGGCCGAAATAATATTGTAATTATGGAAAACAAATAAAAGGAGAAATATAAGAATGATTTTCACTGTCCATGATGTTAACGTAGTTAATAGCAAGATGTATTGTGATAACACCACATTAATACAAATTAAAAGAAAAATCATCTAATATAAAACCAATATAAAAATGTGTAGTATATTACCAAGATATAGGAGTAAATTGTACAGTTCAGAATTTTTTAGCAATATTTAGTTATTTTTATTACTTTATATTTGTAAAGGGAAAAGTGACAGAATTAATGGGAAAGAAAATGTGTCACGAATGAATTAACATTATGTAATCGAATTAATAATCATATAAAAAATATTTATTGTATAGTCGTTGAATAAAGATCATACGTAATGCAAATTGCATGGCTAAATTAATATTATTTTCTTAAACATAATTTTACATTTTATACAGGGTATCTCATCTTAATCTTCTAGAATAAATACCTCGAAATGGTTTAAGTAAAAATTGTATGGTTTCGAAAGGGGCAGATCATGTCATCATTTATTTCACTTTCTAATGACTTTGGAAAAATACAAAAGTGAACTTGAAATTTTTAAATTAGGATCTACATTCTTTATTGTACATTATTGTAACTGGTATCGAAACATTTTCAAAATATTATTTAAATGTAATTTTTGCATAAATTATTTCCGATATAAGAACTTTCAAAGTTGACCTGCCGCTGGCGTCATTGAATGAATATCGCTGGAAGATTATATAATTATAATTTGTACATTATGCTCGACTTTGCTCGAGACAAGGTCGATAATATCTGCAACTTGTAATATCTATCATACTCTTTTTTGTTTCTTTTCATGTTTTATGTTTTATTAGATTTATTGCTCAATTCATGGAAATACATTTCCCGGATATATGATCATGCGCGGTTCTGATTGTTGATCATATACGTGGGCGACATATTTTTATTCATAAACTGACAACATCTTTTAATATAAATTTAACAACTTTCCGTATTAATTTATTTTGTATCGTGGAAGATTATAAAATTGTGAAGACCCAGAAAGCTAAGACTAAACCCAAAATTTTATAAATATAAATAATGTATAAATAAATGTTTCAAATGTAATAATGTAATAATGTATATTTACATTTTTTTTCTTAAGAAAAAGTAAAATAATTTCACTAAGAGATGATTTTCTTCGAAATTTATAGTTTTACATATCTGTTTTATATATCTAATATTATATTTGTTGAGAACCACTGTTAAAGCAGTAGTTGCTACATACAGGATAAGGAAATTATATGCAAACCTGATTTTTGTACGTGTATTAAGTTAAATATATACTATGTGTATATATGTGCATGCATTTACAATTATGTACATATATATACACATATAAATATATATATATATACATATTGAAAAATAACAGTAAAAAATGTTTAAAAATTTATTTTCAATTTTTTAATTAATAATAACAGTATTTATTTTAATGAAAAACGTAAAATAATTTATATACTTGTAAATATTATTCTATACAAAAATTTGTAACAGAATTGTATTTACTTACTTAATTTTACAAAACTACTAAAAATTGTGTATTTGACAGAAGAACAATGATGTTACATAAAACAAACTTAAAGTTATGTCGCCTTTGTGGAAAAGAAAAACAGCAAGGCACAGACTTATTTACCGATAAAGTTAAAGGAACTGTATTAATGTCGATTATAAATAAATATTTCTCCAAAGAGGTATAACCAAAATATGTTATGAGATTTAATTTATATTATAATTTATTTTAATATTTTTTCTGTTACAGGTGATAAATATATCAAATTCTGATGCATTTTCAAAATATGTTTGTATTGATTGTGAACAAAAAATTTATATATTCGATGAATTCTGTTTGATGGTAGCTAATGTACAAAAACAACTTGCAGCTCCATCTCTGGAGATTGATTTTGCAGAAGTAAAAATGATTTTAAGTTAATTATTATTAAAGATGTGTTTCATTTCAGATGAGCAGAAGAATTAATTTTTGTATTTGTTAAATTTTTGAAGTATTTCAAACTATATTTTCACAGTATTTTAGTAAAATACCAAAGATTGAAAATGTTACAAAGGTTTAAATATGGTATTTATTTATCTTATGATATAAAAAACTGAATACATTTTTTTTTAATAATACTTTTTAACAGAATAACTATGATATCTTTTAAAATATCGAATCAATTTATTTGAATTTTTATAAAAATAATGTATTGTAGATTTTTCTCCGATATCATATATTATATCTTTTATATATTTCCTATTTTTTAATCAAGATCTTAAATAATCTTTTATAGCTTATAAACATAGCAGAATGTGATACCTAATACCATCTGAAAAAATATTTATGCTACTTATTTTATTATAGTTATTTTTATTATTATTATACAAATTACTATGTGTAAGTTTTGGAATATCAATGACAATAGACTTAAAAATATTTTTTAAAGTATATAAAACATTTATAAATATATATTCAAAATGTCAATGCTATAATCTTATAAAAATATTTTTTATAAACAGGTTATTTCAAAATAAAAAATTACAATAAATTCATCTAAAGTAAATTATTCTCTTAATTGTAAATTAATTACAATAACAAAAACTTTATATTTTGATCTAATATGTTAATTTTATATTCACAGGATATGTTATGTCAATTAAAAGAAAATGATACAATATCAAAAAATACTTCAAATAAACAAGGTGTAAAGAAAAGTACATGTCCAATATGTGCTAAGAGTTTTCGATGTCAATCGCATTTAAATAGGCATAAACGTATTCATACTGGACAAAGACCATTTATTTGTAATGTTCGTAAGATAGTTTTTTTTATATTTTTCTAACAATATAAATATGAGTTAACATAATAGCAGAAAGATTAAAGATTACAAAATTTTTCTCTAATTTAATAATATTATATTTTTAGATTTGTAAAATGTCATTCAATCAACAAGAAATCTTAATGAAACATAAAGAAAGACATGAAGGAAAGAAACAATTTCAATGTGCAAATTGTCATCAATCATTTCGTTATAAAGTTTCACTAAAATCTCATATGATAAATTTTCACATGGATATGGAACAGTCTATTAGTAATCAAAATTTGCAAATGGAAAATGATTCATTTACATGCTCTGAATGTGGTAAACAATTTGTGACAAAATATAAATTACAAAGACATTCAAGATGTCACACTGGAGAGAAGCCATATCATTGTACCTTTTGTCTAAAAACATTTTCACAAACTGGTAATTTAAAAGTGCATCAGGTGAAGTATCATCAAATGCATGGTTCTATGACTGAGATAAGAAGACAAACTCAATACAATGATCAAATAGTTGACTGTGATATACCTACATCATTAAATAATTTTCATGCAGTTAACATGTCAGAAATTGAATTGCAAAATACAATAAATGAGACCATAAATTCTACAGAACAGAATAGTTCGTATGCTACGAAAATATACGAAAGTTCTTTATACATTGATGATGAAATTGAAACAATTCTGGATCGTGATCTTGGTCAGCTAGGCCAAAATAAATATTCTACGAATGTACAAGACAAAGTACCACTTTGTTTAAAACAACCAGAGACTCCTGGATTGTTGCACAGTTTATTATATGATGATGGCTAGTTTTTGCAATTTAATTATCATTAATTCTTCTTTAAAATAATATAAAAGTTATTTATATTTCAAATCTACAACTAATGAATGTGCATGTGGTGATTATAAAATCACTTTTTTATTAATAATGTTATATATGTCATAATATATAAAAACATTTTCGAAAAATAATATTATATTATAATAAATTTTGTGCGCGCGCGCACGCGTGTGTATGTGGTGTGTAATGTAGTAATTCTTTTGTTGGTACACAAAAGGCTTTGAGGAGGTAAAATCAACGATTAAATTTTTAACAATTTTTCTTATTCTTAAACGAGATCACGTACGGAAAAATTTTTACTATAAAGTGACACAGCACCAAAAGTCAAACATTTTTTATTTGAAAAGTTTTTTTTTTTTATCTCGCATTAGTAAAAAAAAAAGAAATACCGGACTACAACTTAGAGTAATAATTTCATCCATTTGAAGTAATATTTGTAAAATAAAAAAATAGAACCATGTGTAATTCGTTACACTTTACGTACACACAAAATTTTATTAAAATCAGAATTTTTAAGTTAGTGTACTCTCATAAAATTTGTATAGTGTTCGAATACTTTCGTGAAACAATATGTGCATAAATTAATCATGTTCAACTCACACTTCTACACCTATCATTTTTTTGTTTTAAGAGCAAAGTAAAAAAGGAAGAAAGAAATATTTAATTATTTATTTCTAGGAAATGTATAATCCATCCAGTGAATTGAGTCAGGGCAAATAATATTGTCCAACACAAATTTTGATCTGTAATATCCATTGAGTAATTCTTGTAGAGTTTGCGTTCCTGAGTACAAATAATTTTTCTTTTTCGAAAAGCAAGTTTTTGTAAAAATGCACGATTTTTGGCTGAATTGAAGCATTACATGAAAACTAAAAATGTTAAGAGGTTCACTCTTATGCTAAAAGTTAGGTGAAAGTTTTCCTAGTTTTCAATGTCCACCAATGTCCAGTGTGCTTTTAAATAATTGTAATTGTACGCACTATTTTTGCATTTTTACAAAAAGTTTTTTATTCAGCATAAATTTGCTACACAGTATTATATTCTGCAAACTTTTTTATAGAAAAAATCATGCAACAAAATTGTCGAAACTGTTTTTAATTCGATCAGATCAAGAAAATATTCCTTATTTAACCATCATATAATTGCATAAAACATGTTAATAAAAGATATTCAAATATTTTATAGCTGTATTTGTTGTATTTTTTATATTTGTACCAATGATAAATAATTCCATAATATAAGTACAAAGAATAAATTAATGTTGGGAAAAATAGCTTCCTATTTTATAATAAGATAAAATCACGAATTCATTTCTATTCTGCCTAAATGAGCATTAAGTGCATTTGTTTATAGTTACTAACTTGATTGATTGAATATAAACACACAAAGTCGAATTGAGCGTTTCTTCCATGGTCAGTATTGGTTTAATTTGCTGTCTGTGTGAAATATTTTATCTATTACATAACATTGAATGACAATCAATTCATTTATTTTACATATTAGATAGAATATTATAATCATTACTTAAATTAATGTTTTTATTATTGTTAATAGAAAGTTTAACAATGTAATGCAACAGGGGTTTAATGATAATTTATTAATTATTATATATTAATATTTAATTAGGTTTTTTTTCTTTTTATAATTAAATGTTTGTTAATGTAACAAATTAGTACATTTTTTAAAAATATGTATGCATTTATTGAAATCTTTCATTTAAATATCCTGTTATTCTTGCCTTTAACATATATATATAAATACTACTATAATAATACTATACATCAATATATTTTTACTGATAGAAATAAAAAAAATAACATTTAAATGAAAGGATTTAAAAATGAAAATATTAAAATTGAACAAAAATTAAATTTAATTATGAACTAAAAAAATTGATATTTAAATTACAGTATTCTATTAAATTGCTTATTGAAATGTATAATATTAATGACTTAATAATAAATTTTATTTTTCTTATGGTATTTTCATTGAAAAACAAGTAACAATAAACTTCTGTCTTTGTATATAGCTTTTCTCAATAAAAACAGTCGCATTGATATGAAGTCAAATTTCTTTTTTACAATAATATTACAAATATATTAATGAAGAATAGCTAATCGACCAGTATTTGTAGCATAAATTAGACCTTGACCAGGTTGTGGTGCCCATCTGATACAATTTATACTTGTGTGTCCCCTAGTTGATTGATTATTTTGTAATAAACTTCTAACCCACGTCATACTGTTATTTTTAGCCATAACATGTAAATATTTTCTTATATTATTATAATAAATATTTGTGTGTTTTAGTCTATAAATGATAGCCATAATATATTCGTTTCCAATACCGCTACTTGCTAAACCTAATAGAAGGTGTTCTTGTGTTGGTGAAATTGATACTGACACCACAGGACTATATACTTTTGTACAATAAATTTCTTCTCCTAATGTTTCCCATTGTAAACTATAGACTCCTAAAAATAACATTACATAAAAATATACTTAATATAAATATATGTTATAATACTAGAAACATTATTTAAAATTATAAAAAAAAATTGACTTAAGAAATATTAATATTAATTAAATATGTAATAATAAGAATTAAATAGCCATAATCAGATTATTCTATAAATAATTTATTGTTCAAACAACATATTAAATAACACATTAAAGATAAAAAGTATTTAAATGTATCAAAAATATTAATTATATTGATATCTATCATAAGATTTGTTTGTGTATTCCAAAGTAATAGATTTTTATTAAAATCTTCTTTTTTTTTTTGAAATCATTAATTGATGTAAAATGAACGCTTAATCACTATGAGCAAAAAATATTAGTTCTTACAAAAAATTATAGAAAACAAGAATTAAATAAAATTATCAAGCAGTTTAATTCTGCTCCAGAAGAGATCATTTTTGAGTGAAGAAATGAAAGTATGTGATGCATCTATGATTACTGTTCATGATAAAATTCATTCTTAAAGTAAATAAACTTTTGTTACTTTAATAATGTTTATGACATAAACTAAAATTTATGAAGCATATTATATTATATAAGACACTATGTTATACTACTATATGTTATTACATTATTATTACATAAAGAATAATAAAAATGTTCCTGATCATAAGTATAAAAAAACAGATACACAAATTATTAAGTATTTATTGATTAATTTGCTTTATTATTAATATGAAATATTTTTCATATGTACTTGTTCAAATATAATACTATATTCATCAAACATTATTAACATTATTAACTTTATTATTTTATATTAAAAATATACTGAAGAAATTCTACAAACTTAACCGTTTGAATGCCACGGGTTATTATTGTTTCCCAATCGATATTTGCCAAGCGGCGCGATAGCGCTTGTCATATTCCGTGTCCAAAAATGCCGAGCGGCGCGATAGCGCTTCTCATATTCCGCGTTCACCAACCGAGCGCGCTGATTGTCAGCTTCGCAGCTCAGAGCGCTTGCACTTTTGGACACAAAATAGAAGAAGCGCGATCGCGCCGCTTGGCACTCAAACGGTTAAAGAGAAGATATACAACATTAAAGAAAGTATATAGTTTATTAAAGGCCATTAAAAAAATTTTCATTATTTATAGAATAATTTGATATATTTATTTATGTATTATTTTAAAATAATTTCTCACCTGCAGCCCTCATAAAACAGGTTGCCAATAGTTTTCCATCCGAAGAAATATTTACACTGGCGTCGTTACGAATTCTGCACTTGTTTATTACAATATTTTTCTCAGCTGTATTATAAGAAGTACTTTATAAATGAACTATATGATTTCAAACATAGAATATAATAATAACGATAATTATATTTACAGTTCGTAATATCTGGTATTTCTCCCTTAGAAAAGTCCCATGCTTGTACACGGTAACTGGAAATTCCTGAGAAGTTTAACACTAGTGTTCTAAAAAATTGAATATTTTATTGCAGGTAAATTATATTAATACTATTACTTTTTATATAATGGAGCCCATAACCACTGTCTCAAAGTGTATGTAAATAGGTTCTATAGAATGTTTCAGAACTACAGATCAATCAAATAGCAAATATTAGGGAATGATGTTTTGTCTAATCAATATACATATTTTTTCTATTTTTTTTTAATATGGAAACATTGAAAGTATAAATTTAGAATGGCTATTGGAAAACAGCTTGCCATAAATCAACTGCTTTTATTAGATTTCAATAAAATTTTAAATAATAAATTGTATACATATAGAAGTGAAATCAAAAATTTAGTTTATCAAAAATATTGTTATTTGAAAATATGATCATTCCAAAATATTTTCACACAATTTTTATATTAAAATTCTTTAAAACAATGAAATTATGATTTCAAATTCATTTAGTTGTCATGAATGAGAATTGTATTTTAAATACATTCTTATTTTTGAAACAAAATTTTTAAAAACAATATAGCTATTGAGAGTCAAATGGCTAACTAATTTGACTGAAATTTGACGATACTTTATCTAGTTATTCTATACCAATTATTTAACCATTATCATAAAATTATTTTTATATTTGTTTCTGTTTTCAAAATATACAAAAATAAATTGACCTCTACTAGAAAATCATAACTACATTTTAAAATCAAAAAATAAATATTTTCCAACTTGATTACATTAAAAACTATATTTACGCACTTATTTAAAAAATCGTCTGTTTTTTTTTTACAATAATTAAATAATATCCGAGTTTCGCTACAAGACTATACTCAAAAGATTCATTTTATGAAAATTTATTTCATAAACTTTATTTTATAAAATTTGTTAACAAAATTTAAGTGATTGGAAAATTAAAGTATACTATTTTGCATGATAAAGCATTTACTTTATGTTTATAAACTGTTTAATTCCGTTTTAAGTGCATATAGTTTTATATATAACATACCGCAATTCCAGAGCCACAAAGAACATTTTAAATGGCGCTTTAAATTTTTCATGTTACACTTACCTTGAAAAGGTCTTTCGTCATCATATGGAAGAACTAGTTCCCCTCTTCTTCCTGTTCGTAACCTTGAATTATTGATAAATTGTGGTCCAGAGCTTTCATTATTACCTATTATTACAGTACCACAGAAGCTGGATTGAGTACTATGTGAAGGCTCTGTTCCAGCAGTTCTGAAAGAATAAATCGTTTGATTTTGTGGCTTTCAATATAGTTATTTGATATTTGATTATCATATGTCCTTCTAACGTACTTTAAACCTACATAATTTAATGAAGAATACATAAGATTTATTTACTACTATATTAAAGAATATTTAATATATAATATATTGTATATACCTGAATATTCTTAATTCTCTTATATAACTATTTCCAATGCCTGTGATTAATTTTCTTCCTAAATTGTCAAAAGCTACATATCTGAAACATTTAATTAAATACAAATGTTTGATACTTATAAATGATATATTTATTGTAGATTAAGTAAAACTCATAAATTTTAGTTGTTATTAAATTAAACCAGTAATTTTTACATATGCCATGGGCATATAAATAGCTAGAGATTCAGTACTAAACCAGAGACTCAGCTAGATCCTTAATTAGGCATTATGTCATAAATAATATGAAAATATGTTTTTTGAAATGAAAAAAAATTATTTCATAAAAATGAGGAACATTGAAACATGATAATAACAGAAAAATACAGATTAAAACTAGATTGAAAAATAGTTTTCATTTTTTTTATTTATTTTTTTTTTAAATTCACACAAATAAAATGAAAGTTTTTCTAATTTACTAACATTAATTGCAAAAAAATTGTGTTGAGGCTCAAATAAAAGTGCACATGAAAATAGGATAAAAATATTTTGCCTCATATGTTTTTCAAAAATATTCTTTTTTTCATATTATTACGAGATATAATAGATTTTTTTTCAAGTGTTTTGAAATGGACAATAAACAAAAAAATATTTAAAAACAACTAATGAAATAAGAAACATCTCAAATTTTATTTTATCATTAATATATATTACAGAAAAAGCCTATAAAAATTTAATTAATTTCATTATATAGTATTTTTTAAAAACTTAATAAATACATTCTTTTAAGATTTGAGACAAAAAAATTTCTTATATTTAAAAATATTTAATACTACATAATAACTATTGTATATAAAATATTGTATCAAATATATCAAATATTATATCAAATATTAGTAAATAAAGTGTTTTTGTTACTTTAATACTTAGGTATATTGTAATATTTACTCTAAAAAATTTTTTAAAAAGATTAGATAATCTTAATTTTAAATAAAAATATCTATATATTACTATATCTGTTGTAGATTAAATAATGTAAATATTATAATTTATTCTATAATATATAACATAGCAAAACTTACCTTACTTTTTCTAAGTTGGTCTTAGTAGAAATTACTGCAAAAGGTTCAGATTGACTCCAATCCCAAAAATGTATTTCATTATTTGTTGCTATAACAAGTAATTTTTCAGATGGATGGAAGGCAAGAGATGCTATGACTGTCTGACTTTTTGCATTCCAAACTTTACTACCATCCTATTTTAACAAAATATGTTGTAAATTATTTTTTTATTGTCTTGTTTGCACTGGATATTAAAATACATTTAAACACATCAAAGTTATAATTTTAAGATAAACTTGAGCATTAAAAAGATAATCAAATTTCAGGATAATAAAATTTTAAAACGAATAAATGGAAATTGCGAGTTTCCTCAGATATCTGCATAATTCATAGTTAATATACTCACCTAATCTAATAATATTAAATATTTTTCTTTAGGAAAAGCTAAAATAAGATATTTACCAAAAATTATCTACTATACTAAAAACTATAATGCATTAAAACTTATGTTGTTATGCAAGAGTGTTTTAAACATCTTTTAAGTCATTAAAAATTGATGACAATATCAATGTTTATAACTTATACTGAAACATTTTGTATATTACTAAAATGTAATCAAAGTAGTAAAAAAAAAAATGTTGTTTCTCTCACAATCACAATAATATTCTTACAGATAAGTAAATTTACTAACTCTTAAATCCCAAACGCGAACTTGACCACCAAGGCAACCAGATGCTAATATGTGACTAGAAGAAGGATGAAATGTAATACACCATGGAGTACGTGGATGACCAGAAAGAATTTTAATATTTTTTCTAGTTGCTACATCAGTAATATAAACACTGTGATTTCCATGTGCTGATGCCATTTTAGTGCTAAAATTTAATTTTATAAATTAATTTGCAATATAATTAAAAGATTTATTTCCTTACCGATCGGGACTGAAAACCATTAAAAATGTTGCTCTAGGATATCCAGGCAAATCATATTCCTATAAAAAATTATCAAAGTAAGTAATGTAAAAATAAACAATTTTATAAGAGTATGATATAATTACCAATTCTTTATAACTTTTCTCAACTAGAATTATTTCAGCCATTAATTCTAATTCACGTGTCTTAGTTTTATAACAATTATAATATAAAAATCCAAAGTCTCTGAGCATTAAGTATCTCAATATATTATGAGACTGATTGCAATGAAGCAATTCTGGTCTCTTCTTGACCTGCTCCATTTAGCAGGATGTCCTATAATATTTATAAAAATGGTTAAAGAAAAAATAAACGTCTAACTTCATAATAGCATTAATATATGAAATATAAAATATAATAAAAATATTAATCAACTTTCATAGCTACCTCTAAGCATTTTAATTCGTGTGAATTTATTCAGTTATTCACTTTAAAATTATTTCAACTTAAAAATTTCAAAATAAATTTCAAATCTAATCAATTATTAAATTAATAAAATATGCACAGGCTCTACATAAAAATAACATTGGATAACCAGTTAATTTTTTTAATTACTTGTTATTCTTTAAATGTTAAATAACAACATATATTGCATAAATCATAGTATACTTCTACAAATTGAATAAGAACATATAAATACATTTATTTATAGAAACTATTTTATGCAATAAAATTAATATAAAAATTTTGACTTATAATTTTTTTTAACCGATATATATATAATAATATTATATAGTTTCTTTCTCACAATTAATATAAATAAAATAAAAATTTAACCTTGAAATTTAAAACTAAAATTCCTCTTACAAATTTCCATTGCTGTAAGTATATAGATTTGTAAAAGCCACAATATTTTTTTGTACTCTATACATAGTAATAATTAGAATTATGTTTTTCATATACAATATTTTTTGAATATGTGAATTCTTCACTGAAGATATAGGATTATAAAGTTATTTTACTTACACCAAACAAATTGTTTTTCACCCAGGATAAAAAAAATATTAACGAACTTGTAAAATTGTATTATTAGCAAAACTTATAATTTTTATACTTTCATTGTATCTGTATTTTAATAAATTGATAAAGTTTTTTTTAAAAAAGCGAATTCAAACGTATTTATGCTTAAATATTTGTAATTATATATAACCTGTGTTGTGTTCCCATACAAGATTTCTTCGTTTTGCCGGTAACTTACCGACGTCGTTTCTTTAATTCATCTTTTGTTTTACGTTTCCTTACTATTTTTTGTCATTGATTCTTTTTGTCGTACTAAAATGGCCGAAGCTTGTGCAATACAAGATAAATTAAGGCTTTTGTACATTTAACTTATTACATAAATAAATTATCTTCCTTCTTCCCTGAGATGTAACATTTTTTAATAACCATGACAGAACAGTAATTTTCTAATTTTGTTAACCAGTAAAATGGAAAATTTGAAGAAAACCCAAAGTACAATTGATGGCTGCACTTAAAACAGAGATATTTAATTTGAATGAAATAAAAAAACTTTATCGCAGTTCTCAAGAATAAAGATACAGAGTTTCAAAATTTCAATGAGAAGATTTTAAATAAAATGCATGCAGATAACGAGTTAACTAAGGACATTTTAATTATTAAAATTAGTATGTGTGACAAATACAAATTACAATATTAACAATTAAACTGTTAATGACACAGGTGATGGAGCTAGTATAAAGCTCACTACATCTACAATGCCTTAATTTCAATGTTATAAAAATATATATGATGATTCAGAAAGTAAGAGATACAAGCTACAAAAAATTAGAATTCAAAAATTTATTGACAAAATTAGAAATTTGCTGCCATTCTAAAGTTAATTCAAAGATATTTATAATGATGAAAAGATATGTTAAAAGTAACAGAGAAATTCTAGAATCTCATTTACACAATAATCAAGGTTTTCCTAGCTGATGAAATTGAAAATAATTTTTTACTGACTATAGAGAATTACAAGAAGATAGTAAGAAATCTTGAAAAATAGTTCGTGAAAGAAGAAAATGTTAATTAAGGCCTATAAGGGGGAACTTCTGAACTTCTTGATTTCTTTGATACATACTTAAGGCATTAATTTTAGTTTCTGAGATAATCGCTAGAACTAGAAACTTTTGCTATAATTACTTATATTTATATGTCTATAGCAATGTATATGTCAATATGTACTCCTTGTTTATCTGCTATTTACATGAACAAAAGATGAACTTATAAGGGTTAGATTTGGGTATATATCGGGTGAATTAATTTAAAAGACATCTTTTAATGAATATTTTACACAAGTCACCACCAGTGATAACTAAAACCTAGCAATCTAATGCAACCAATGCATTACTGATTTTCATCTTTTTTTTTTTAAATAATTTTTAATAAGGTTAGATTATTATGTGTATATAAAATTTAATGTAATAGTAACAAAAATTTTTTTTTGGATATTTTGGAAACTGAAATTATGAGAATTAGGAACATGTACCCTAATTTCAAAAATTTTCATGGATCACCTTAAAAGCAAAAACATCAAATGCTAAGAATTCTGTGGTTGTAAGAAAAAAGATTCCATGTTACAAAGTTTTATTTTCAAGATAATGTCATTTAAAGCTCACAACATCAGTTTGTCTTATAAATCAGTCAAATGGAATGGAGATAATATACTTCTGCAATTTAAGATGTATAATAATATTGTTAGTATATTAATAACAAGAATTTGGAAGAATATTGACTTTTTTATGTTATATACACATGTCTTCAATAAGACTTATTCTTCTATATAATCCTAATGAAATAAATATTTTTTTTCAGTATGTCAAATTCAAGTTTGGAAAAAGAATTATACATTTTACGCAATAACCAAAAATGTATCAGTTATTTTGCAATATGTTGATTTTGATGCCTTTGTACCATCTGATAAGATTAAATAGCATTTATGTCCTTTTACTGATATAAACTAATTCTTATTATCAATGAAGGGATTGAATAATTATATGAACCACTATACCTTCAATTAAGTATATTTTACATTATACTTAAAAATCTAACTTGATACTTATATTTAACAATTATTGGATTATATAGTATAAAAAAAAAAATTAAAAGAAGAGAATGGCTAATTGTAAATACATTATTTCATTGATGGTTTTGAATAAACTGGTAATCCTTTATTTTTATTGGTTACTTGCATCTCATTTAAGGTAAATTGTTTATTTCATTGAAATAGCAAGTATGAATATATGATGCTATGTAAATGCGTGTGAATGTAGATGAATAGAAAAAAAATATAAAAGTATTTATGTCACTTTTCCAGATTTTCAAAAATATATCTTTCTATGCAGCAATAATATATCTTAAGGGGACAAGACAGTTTGAAATTTTGGAAAAATCGATATTTTCTTTGGCTTAAATAGTAGCCTGAAGTCTTAAAAGTAATATACGAAAGGTTTCAGCCTATAAAACAAATTATTTTTGGACGTAAAGAAATTAAAACCGATTCACAATCTTTCACCGTAATGCATCGGCACATGTATAATGACTTGACGTGACAATCTATCAGCATGGAATCAATTCTATAGGTCATAGATAATATGAGAAAATTTAAAGAGTCGACATTATATATCTCTACTTTTAGTTTTCTTTAGATGAATTGATCCAAAATTAAAATGAAGCTTTGATAATACTATTTAGCGTTTAGCTCCAAAAAAAAGTTTAATTAGCGCCATTACAAAAACGAAAATTGCTGTTTATATTACTGCTAATATTTTCAATAAAGACTTTTCCAATATCCTATGAAATATGAACACTATGAATTTAATCATGAGACTAATAGTTGCTGCACTATGTGCTACACTTAAAAAAATGATTAAAACTCCTTATAAACTGATCGCTTAAAAACTCTAAAAATGGTCGAATTACTATGATAAGTCTATCAGCCGTATAATAGACTAAAATCGAGTAAGATAGTCATATATATAAGGCAGCAATGACGTATTAGTAAAAAATTAAAGATACGTATGAAAAATTTATGTTTCGAAGCTTTAAACACGTTTTTTTTTGAAATGATGTTTATAAAAATGGTATACAAGATATGCCGCGATCTAATCGACCAATTATTATGAAATTTTGCAAATATCTTTATTATAACATTTATTAGTCATTGACATTCGATTTTCTTTTTTTTTTAACTTGTTAACAATTTCAAAAGATATTAACACAAAACAGAAATTTTTCATAAAAATTCTATAGTTCGACTATAAATAGCTGCTATTTTGTTAATTTTGAAAAAAATGTTCGAACGTCAATGTTTAGAGAATATGTTATAGTTTCAAGTCCTTTTCGATTTTTTTATGTTATTAACTCTACGTCGCTGGAATATTACACACCAAAAGGTCACATTGAAAAAAATTACTTCAGAATGATGACGTCACAAAGCTATATAAGGGACTTTTTTAATTTAATGCAGTTTTATACAGCTCATAATATATTGAAACAAGTGACAAAAGCTTATATTAATCACGCAATTACTTTTTTCCCAGTGTTCCTTTAAAGTAAATTTTTGAGCGCATCAAACTGTCTTGCCCCCTTAACATGTTTCCATACTTTCCAAAAATAGGTTGCAGTTCTGAAAGGCTTAATGGACGATCGAGATATTTAAATATAGTACATGAAATAGGGATGCCTAACTTTTTCCGCAAACATATATTTTTTTCTGTGTTTAATTAACGCGCTTCCGTCTTATTTATAATGCTTATGTAATTTACTGATTCAAGAAATAGTTGTTTTTTCCTTTACACATAAAACTAGCAACATTTTTGTTATTATTTAATAGAAAATAACATTATTATATTTTGTTTAAAAAATATAAAATACAAAAATTAAATTCAAATAAATGAAAAATTTTTAAAAAGTGTTTTTGCTCCAAAACGAAAAATTTTATTTAAATAAAAAAGTAAAAGATGCGGTGTAATTATGATTACAAAGGAAATTCATGTAATAGGATATCAAAAAATGTTATGAAATAAATCAAGTGTATAAAAGTTATACATATACATATATATATATATAAGTAACATATCTCAACCATGTTTACTAGTACTTTTTTTATAAATTAAAAATATAATTGAAATAATCATTTTCTTTTTTTTATTATTTTTATACCCATATATTCTTTAAAAACTAATTTAATAATTTATAATTGATATTTTGAAAAACAACTAAACTTCTAGAATATCTATATTCTTAAATTCTATATTATTAAAATCAAATCTGCTAAGAGTAAACTATAACTTTTTAAGATTAGAATTTAAACAATTAAATCTTAAATCAAATCATACTTCTAGCAGGTTAAATATTTAAATATTTTGTTTGCTGTTATCTAATAGGAGAGTGCGTAAAATTATTGTAATACTGTATATAGATATTGTATTAAAAATTAAATATGTATAAATACCAGGGCAGTTACAAAATTTTTGAACAGAAAATTTCTGAAATTTCTAAAATATGAAATTATAAATATTGTTTATTATTCTTTTGCTCTTAAAAGAAACTAATAATATTTATAAGTAAATCTACATAATAGTAAAATTAATGTATTTATACATCTTTTAATAACACATATATTAGACAGCAGAAATTAATTATAAAGTAACATGTTACCTAATTAACTAACTAATATATAATAATCTTTATTTTGGCATTACAGCCAAGAAATGTGGACTTGGTTTATAATACCTTCTTATCTCACTCATCCAATTCTTTCATTCAATCATTGTGTCATACTTATTTTCTACTTAATTCTAAATTTTTTACTTTACTCTTTGGTTCATTTTTATTGTCTGCTATTCTTTACTAATTCTCTTTTTTTATTTACCATCTCTAGCCATCTTTCTATTTTTTCATCTTTCCTACCACTTACTATGTCTTCTATCTTTACCTCCCCATTAATCCCTCTCATCAAGTGTTCATCTGTTTCTGGTGCATTTCCTTTTTCCTTCCTCTTCTTAATACCTATTCCATTTTTTTATATTCCTAAAGTAGTATGTTACCTATTAATTTTAATTTTCTATATTTTTAGATATTATATATTATTAATATAAATATATAAAGTTCATAAAAAACTATGTTAATATTTTATTCAAAACACTATATTTTATTCTTATATTTTACTGTTATTTTAATGAATATACTTGTAAAATCTTGATGTGAGCAGAATATTGCATGTCAATAACATATATGAAATATGTTCCCAATATTTAATGATCAAATTACAAACAAATATGTATTAAATTTATATAATTTGCAAAAATGAATAGTATATAGCATTTTCAAATTGAAATATTTGACAAGAAAATGTTATTTAACTTATGAAAAGCGTATTTAAAAAAATATAATCAAAAGTACTATGTGCAATTTATGTGAGAACAATAAAAAATAAATTTACAAAACACATTTTATAATAGTGTAAGTTGTGGTATGGAAATATTTTGTAATTATGGAGCATGCATTATGGGATGATCAATACAAAATATTCATCAATGATTTATCCTAGAAATTTAATAATATAAATATTTGAAACAGAGGAAAATTAGAAATAAAAAATGATATAAGTCTTCATGCAAGAAGAACGTACATAAAGTAAAAATAAAATAATATTTATAATTTTGTAATTTTTTTATTACTGTTTTTGAAACAGCATCTATTTATTTTCAACTTATAAATTTTTACATATTTCAATTGAAAATATATTTCATCTGTAATATTAAATGAATGTACACTATATGCATTTCTTCTCGATTTTTATGTTGCACAACAGATAAACATTTCTTTTATACATCACTTAGTGATTCAAAATACGTAAATTGCCAGAGACTATTTTATTTTCTAAAATTGTGCCTGATGGAAGATCAATACGTTCTCCATGATTTGCAATAATTATAACAGTTCCCTTGAGAGTTACACCTTTTCCAAAAGTAACATCACCAGACACTGTAAGGTGATCTAATTCCAAAAGATCTGGTATAGCTGGAAATCTAGTAAGAAATTCTTTGACCTACAAAAAAAATTTTACATTAGTTATAGAATTAATTTCAGATATAAAATATTCGTGAAAATGATAAAAGGAATAATAACCTTTGCAAAATGATTGTCACCTAGTTTTATAAGAGGTGTTGTAGGAAACATTCGTTGAGGACTCATTACCAATGAGCCATTGCGAAGAGTGTATAAATTACTCATAACAAGCATTAAATCAGAAGTCTTTTTCACTGGTAAGAATCTACTGCGTGGAACATTTATACCTATTTACAGATTCATATATATATTTATTATAACTTTATACTACCATTAATTATAAAGTAATATCGTTATATTAGCTACAAGGTAATAATATAAAATTTTACAGAAAATGTAAATGATGGAGAAAAACAAAATGTTGGTTCCTTACCAATACTTCCTTCAAATGATTTCATAGCAGCACCTACAGCTGTTTCTAACTGAATGATATTTAAACCATTTGAGAAAGTTTTATTATTGACAATAATTTCCATGTTCAAAGAATTCTTTTCAAGTACCCTTTCAATAGCTAAAAATACAAAGAAAAGATGTTACAATTATAAATCATATAATTGAAGGAGAAGGATAAATACCACTGAGTTTTATCCACAAGTTATTTGTATTGAAAAATTTGAACGTTTTTACAGATTTGAAATCATCTACATGGTCTTTTGGAACTTGTGCGATTTCAAGTAAGCGTAATTTATCTTCATACTTAATTAATGTTCCACCCTAAACAAATATTTAATAATATTTTTAAGTAGTAAATATTTATTAATTAACAAATATTTAAATATTCCAATTTGTAAGACAAAAGTTGAATACCTTAACATCGGCTCGTGTTTTATCAGTCACTTCCATAACAAATTCAAGAGGCGAAGCTTCGCGTTTGTCTAATAATAATTTCAAGATTTTGAAATCCACAGTGGCACCTAAATTATCAATGTTTGAGATAAAACAATATTCACGCCCCTATATGAAAAGAATAGTAATTGTAAGTAAATAATACATAATATAAATTTTGGTACAAAAAATTGCAAAAATTGCAAAAATTGAAACGTACCTCTTTTATAAATTTTTTTAATAAATCTGAATTTCGAAAACTTTCGTAAAAATCTCCGTGACCAGGAGGATACCATCTATAAATGATATTCAGAAGTATTTACATATATAAATATTTAATATTTAACAATCATTTAATCAAAATAATTAATAATACAAAATTTATTTGATAATAATCTTACGCTTCAATATCATCCGCAATATCACTGTGTTTTGCAATTGGAAGTAAAGAGTCTCTATTTATACGAGGATAGCAACTTTGATTAAATGTTTGAATATTAACATCTATTCCTTTATATTTCCTGATAATTCGTTGCGTATCATCATCCGTGTTGAAAGAATTCATCAAAATAAGCGGAACATTCGCATTGTAAGTTTTGTTTAAATACTGTTTATAAAAAGAAAATAAGAAATAATGAGATGAATTTTCTTTCCTTCACCCTTTAGACATTCTCATATTATTTTAAATTATACTATTATAATTATCCATCCTATAATATTATAATTACCTCAATTTGTTGTACAGTCAGATCAAGGAATGTAAGCCCATTGCGCACTGCTATTACAGATTTTGGACCATGGCAGCCCATACTAGTTCCCAAACCACCATTCAGTTTTATAACAATTAATTTGTTTAAGAGTGCTTTTACTTCTTCGTCTTCCGGAGTTGGTAAGGAATTGTAATCTCTTACCTGAAAAGAAAAGGTCAATATTATATATATCATTTAACTAAATAAAGATAAACTTTTCGGTGGAATAACCAATTTGGAAAAATTTACATAAAAAATTTATAATTATTGCAATTATAACGATAAAAAGATTCAATTATGATATTTACCGCATCGTCGGGCAACTTTTGCATACGATCCCATTCTAATGAGGGTCCTTCCTCTTGGAGGAATCGTTTGAAGAGATGAGTAAAGCCTTCGAATTGCCGATGAATCTCCTCCCTATCTTCTCCTGTCGCAGTTTCTTCAAGTTTCTCTAATTCATGCTGGAGCTCGTTCAGGGCATCTCTCTTAGTTCTTTCGCGGAATGCCTGTGTATCTGAGGGACTGCGTTGATGACCGCGTGCCTACGGATTTATTCACAAGGATAGTAAAAAACAGAGTGATAAATACCTTTTCTCTTCATAAACAGCTGGTGTCCGCCATCGCTACCATCCAATTTTGTGAGATCATGCATGACGTATGGACGGTTTTATGTTTCTTTTGCTTTATTTTGTAATTTTCCTTTTTTTTTTCTTTTTCTTTCGTATTCTTTTGATTTCACTGGAGACCGTTATTGAAGGAACTTGTTTAAAAGGAGCAAATCGTTAAGCAGTCGTATGGAGAAAGAAGATACTATATCCCTGGTGTGTGTTAAATTATCCTTAATCAAAAAGAATCCAAATTTGTTTGAATCGATCCGTATTTCTAAATTCTGAATGATATATTGTTTTGTTTTCTGATCGTCGTTCCTTTATATAAAAACGAATCAATATGACAATCATATTCTTCATACATCTGTATATATACATCTGTATCTGCATGTATATTCATACGGAATATAAAGCATATTGATATTAATTGAATTTGCGTTCTAAATTGCTAAAAGCAATTATATCGTTTCTCCCGTTTTATTACATATTCGTATAAAAAGTTTCATTTCTATCAGTTAAGCGATTTTTTTCAAAATATTTCATACAATTCTTTTTTACGAATTGTATGAATTACGTGTCTTGCGCCAAAATTACAATACTATGTCGCAAGGACAGAATTAAGTGGGAATGTTATCAGTAATTCTCAATGTAAAATATACGTTTACAAATAAGGAAATTAATTTCCAAAATTTAAATTTCTCTTATTTTCTGTCATGCGATGCCATAAAAGAGATGAAAATGAAGCGTATCGTGGATTTTATACGATTATTGTCATAAGCTACTTCTTCCAAAAGTATTATCAGTATGCAGGTATAAATCATTCAAGAATTAAATTATGTAACTATTCTAGCTAGACTATCACTATCTCTGGAGGAAAATTAGTTCGAATAAGAATTGCATAACTTCAAGACAAAAAATTGAATCGAACGAAATTTTTCCAGCTGAAAATGTAAATATTACAATCTTTTTTCTCTCTGTATCAATAAAAATATATTTTTTTTTTATATCGAGATTACGATAATCATAGTCTTAAACGTATAACTTCCGGAACGTGTATAATTGTTGATTTTTATGGCTACAGAGTTTCTGAAATGAAGAATAGTGACTACGTGAAGTTTTTAAATATTGAACGTCACAGAATATGTAAAATACATAAACAATATTAAAATTAGACAATTTCTGTAAATAAAATTAACACGAGCGAGATAATGGTATTTTCCTCTTACTCGTTCCGATACTCCGTAAAAATTACTAATGGGTAAAACACATTGAATAAATATTTGCAGACTCACGATCTGGACTCAAATAAGTGGGATATGAAAGGAGATTAGAATGTTATGAATTTAACTGAATTGTCCGTATTATAAAATTTTTATATAATATGTTATAACAATTATTGTACTAAATACTAAATTATTTCATCAGTATTACATAGTATATACTGATTATTATTATATAATAATATATTATTACTATAATAATGAATAATACATTATATCATTATTATAATATTATTACTAATATATATTTTATTATATCATATATATACATATATAATGTATATAACATACACAATATATATAATAATATATTATAGTACATCCTATATTACATGTTGTTTATATCATAGTTAAATATTTCAGTGTAGCATATCCTACAGCAATTTTTCAAACTTTATTTTAAAATTCTGCAGATATTCTTTTTGTATTCTTCCACAGAATATACAAACGTTTGAAAAAAGTTGAAATTTTAATAATTATTTTTATTTGAAAGGATTTCGTTTAATTTGATTTTATTTGGACAATATATATTTATGTTTCTTAATTCGAACTTATTATCTTATAAATTTTTACCTAATGCTTATATCAATTTTGAAACTTAAAATTTAAAAATTATACTGCAATATTCGATTATACAATATTAATTTCCAGTTATTCATTTGTGTTTTCCTGTCATTTTTACTTCAGTATTTAAAACCTTTAGTAAATATTACAATTAAACAATTATTAATACAATAATAAACGTAAGAATATTTAAATATTAAAAATTCTAATTTTCAATTATATTTATGATAGATAAAAACATTCAAACATAATATGCAAGGTAAGTTGTGAAATCTGCATTTATAAGGTTAATTTTAGATGACACCTTATTGCAAGAATTTATATCATATTTATTACATTAGTAATTTTAAATATCTGTAATACTTAACGAGTGATCAGTTACTGTAATTAAAATACATATTTTCTTAATAAACGCGAACTTTTATCATAAGTATAAATTATATTATGAATATAGTTGGTACATGTAAATTATAATAATCGTTATAAAATAATTTTTAATCTTAGACAACATGATCGACATCTTTAATCAAGTTTCAAAAAATTTAAAATTAGAATATCTTTCAAATATTTTAATCATTTATATATGATAACTTGATTTTTATTGGTAACGTAATTTGAATATTTCAAAGCAGAAAGTTGAATAAAATTAAATAACTTTATTTTCTGGACATTTGGATATAGAACGATATCAAAAAATATAAAAATGTAATGTAATAAAGAAACTGAATTTTTACATTTATTTGCAGCATAAATATAAAGTAAAATGATGAAGACTTATTTAACGAGTTATGATATTAACAGATCCTATAACCGACGGAGGGTTAATTTAAAACTTTGATTTATATTTTTTCTCTTTGTATAAACTATAATTCTATAATTTTCACTGATTTTTAAAATCGGTATATATTAAATTTTCAAAAAGAAATCTGTGTGCTAGCAACGGTAGTACAACTGAGAAGGGGTTGATTCTGCATGCAGAAACGAATCGAAGAGAATAAAATTTTTTCATTCGAAGTATCGTCGATTCGAGAAAATCGACTTTGAATATTCACCAAGTACGCGTGCACTTAACTTTGACTAAGGTGGATGAGACCATTTAGTATACCAGCGTACTTGGTGGATATTCAAAGTCAATTTTCTCGATAACAAAGCTTCGAGTCAAATAATTTTATTCTTTTATTTCGATTCGTTTCTGAAGGTAGAATCACCCCCTTCCCTGTTGTACTACCGTTTCTGGGGCAACCTGTACATTAACATTTTACCTGCGGGAGTCACGTATGCACTTATTGCTTTTTACTGCCAACGATCTTCAACGCGTGTTTACAATGTCATCGGTGTCGTGTTCGACTGCCGCAGAACTGAGACGCATATTTAAAGTACAAGAAAATAAAAGTAGTCAACTTTCATCGACCATATTATGTATAGTCCTTTTCATTTGTAGTTTAGATCGCATTGTGCAGTGAAATATTTCGTAAAATATTTTACGACATAATTTAAAAATTTTAATAATTCAAATATGTAAATGACACGTAAGTGGAAGGACGAGAATTTATATACTGATCGTAATAGCAGATTATAATAATAACAGTAATGAAACGACAGATACTGATGATGTTAGTAGGAATGATCTCCATCAGAATATACTTCGAAAAGTATCACATATGAAATAAATATCGAAACCTTAGATATTTAATGAAATTTAAGAAACTATTCAATCGCAATAAAAAGTATAATTATATCGATAGTTTGAATATTGACTATATAATTTAATGCGTTGCAAGAAGCGCGGTTAACTTGCGGTAAGCTCGCTCCAATAATGGCGGTAGGTAAAGTATTAATATCTATATCATGAAAAGCTCGTAAATTTTATAATATCTTATATGATTTAATTTATTAAAAAGTGATAACATTCCAAATTATTTATTGAATATATCAAAATAGATTTAAATGAATTACTTAAGTATCTTGCCTTATCTATCAATTATTTGCTAATCTAAATGATCAATGAGGAATTTGCTATATAATATAATATAATATAATATTACATAACGTTAATAAATATTATATTAATTACTGTAAATGGATGTCCAACCTTAATCCTTAACGTTTATTGTAAATTTGATTCGTTTTCTTAAAAAGAAATAAACTGAACGGTCGTTTCAAATAAATTTTAGATTCTATCAATATTTGAATATATCGCGAGAACTATTTGATAAGAAACGAGCCGATGTTGCCAGATGAATAGTTCTATAAAATACCGTATCTACTGTTTTATAGAAATTTTGTGCTTTTAATTTTATAATCTATTTTAAATAAAGATATCTTAGTATAAATCAGTGTTTATAGCGACGGCTTTGAATTTTTCAAATATCGTTTCTCGTTCGTGCTGTAACTTGGTAATATGTAATGTATAATATGCAATAATGTGATATTATAATATATAATACTATAATAAAATAACAAAACTACTGCAGATATCGATATGATTTTTTTTTATTTTGTAATTGAACGACTAAAAACAGTCAACTATTTGATATGCATCCAATTTTTAAGAATTTACTTCTTAAGATCCTAAACATTCTATGTCCTATGTTTTTCGTACAAAATGAAATTAATTTTTTTTTTTCTAGATAGCTTGATAGTCCATCAAATTTAATAACATTTACTTAAAACATCTTCTTATATCTTGCATAGTTGAAAAATTGTAATGAAAAATACTTCAGACCAATGAAACTTTTTGATCGTGTCAAAAAACGTCAAACGTAATACATTTTGTTTAAAAAATTCTTTTATTAAATGTTCAAACTTTTGTCCATTAACTTACTAACAAATATTTATGCTTCTAATAATATCATTTTATTTTGAAATATGTATACAAAAAAGAGTATTTATCATTAACTGAAAAGTCTCTTTTTAGAAATTATATCGCATCTAAAATATAACACTACATCCAGTTTATTTTCTCCAATAACATTTTTCATTCGTGTCTATTATAAAAAGAAATTCATTCGTTCCTATTTACGATAGATGAATGAAAGGAATTCATTCATTCCCACTTATGATAAGCTTAAGGAGCACACGATTGCGATTCATAAAATTATTTTTAGAACAGAATGCGTTGCTTTAGAATACGTATATTTTAAATTCTCCGAAGCTTTATTTACATACAATATTATTCGTTATAATTTACCGTCTATGCAAAATATGAAGAGGTGTGTTAAATGGATGTTATTACATTTGATGACCGCTATTTGGAAAATAAAAATTAATATGCCACTTTGACAGAATAGGAAAAATAATTTTTTGGATTTTGACACGTTAAGTGCCATATCGGTCCCTAATTGTAAGTCCCTATGGATTAATAGCACCATACTTTGCGCTCCAGCGCATGCGGCGTTGACTCTTGTTTTAGGTTACGTTGTCGCACTGGTCGGATT